CTAGGTCTACTGCTGCACTGTACTTCTCCAAGGCATCCTGGAGGTTCTGGTTTCTCCATAAATCCTCTCCCTCCATCCAGAACTTCCTGGCTCTGCTCTCATTTGGAAAGAGTTTGTTGAGAAGGCTGCTGAGGACCACGTTCACCCTCCGGCCGTTCAACAGCCGCTCGCTGGGGCTCAACATCTGCGTGCACATCATGCAACCTTTAACAGACTCGTCCTCCAAGCAGCGTTTGCAGAAAGTGTGTCCGCACTCCATGGTTGTGGGTTCATGCAGCAAACACTTGCAGAGGCGACATGAAAACAAGTCCAGGGCTCCATCTTCCTCGCACTCTCCGTCGCTCTGCAGCCCGTCCTGTCCGCCGCGCCCGTTCAAAGCCGCCGGGATGCGCGGCTCTTTCCCTCGCAGGGCCCGGGCGATGGTTTCCACCAGGACCGGGAGCTCCTCCGGGCGTAGTTTGCCGAGGCTGGCCGCTGTGCAGTAGGACTCCAGAGCCTCAGAAATCCGCCCGGCTCGGGCCAGAGTGTCGGCCTTCCTCAGACACAAGCCCCTGTCCGGCTGCTGGAGGTCGGAGAGCTGCGAGCTGTAGATCTCCACGGCCAGGTTGAAGTCCCCTGCCCGGCTGGCCTCCTCCGCCACCTCCAACATTTCGGGGCAGATGCCCGCAGCCCCGGGGTTGGAGAGCGGGTGGAGGAAAACATCACCCGGCTGAGACTGAACTTCAGCCTCCATCTTCTCCCGTAGGTAATTTAAAAACTAATAATCGTCCGGCCAAAGCAAACAAACGTCTTCACATTCAGATCTCATGTTTCCAAAGAGCCGACGCGGACCTCAGATGTAGTTTGAGTTCATCAGAAGTTGTGTTTCCGGTTTAAACACGGTGCATAATGAGGCGTCTGCGTCCTGGTGAAGTCTGTATTCTATCTGGCCATGGGGCTTCAGTTGAACTGAACGCTCATAACCTTTAAACAGGTCGAACCGGAGAGTTTGAAGCTTCAAAACAAAACTTTACGTTGACAGCGCCTTCAATTGATTATGGGTTAGTTTCCGTCAGACCATCCAAAACAAGCGGGATCCTCCAGGAGGAAGCTACTTTGTTTCATTCACAAGCAAATACAATTAAAAACACAACAGACTAGTGTCTGGAATGTAAACTACTTATCGTATAGCGAAACTCGAGTATAAGCGTGACACGGTGTCTTCAGACCCAGAAGCTCAGCAGCGGAGAGGAAGAGCCGGGGACGCCGACACCCGGAGAGCTAACGTCAGTTAGCTAACAGCGGCTGCTCCTTCCGCCCCTCTTCAACTTCAAACGAACTCTAATAGGCACGAGATCCCCGAATCCTCGTTCTTCAACGAATAAAGTCGTCATGTCTTCATCGTCAAAAACGAAAAATCAGGCATTAAAATAAAATGTTCGCCGGGAAGACACATTTTAGTTGTTAGCTAACTAAAGCTTCTTTGGATTACATACGCCGTTCGTCGAAGCAGGCGCACGACGTCACGTGACGCCCGTTCCGCGTTCCCATTGGCTGCTATGTGGCTCGCTTATATAACAGAATGAAATTGTATAACCTCTCTGGCTGCAGGAGAAGTCAACCTGAAGCTGGAGCAAGTTCTCATTTGTTCTAGTCAGGTCCCACACGTGACAGCAGGACACGATGCCTCTTAATAAAGTAGAAAAGGCATCGTGTCCTGTTTGGGGTAAACAAAATCCCTTTGGCTCCGGATACAGATGGAGCTGTGGGACAGATTCCTTGTCTTATGTAAGGCTTTATATAAGCAATGGGTCTGCTCTGGTTTTGAATTGGAAGTGATGACTGTAGATTGTGCTCCAGGCTTAAAAAAAACAAAAACATAGTTTGTTCCAAGACTTTTTAAAATTATTTATGAACATTTTAACTGTGACGGTTCTCACACCAGATGTGACCCAGTTCTGATTGTTTTCACACAAAAGTTGATTCAGACAGAGAAATCAAAGACTGAACATCCTAAGCTGCTTAGACCCACACCAGAGGTTCAACAAAGTGTACAGATATAGATATGCACCTCAAAAGTCTTCTAACCAGCAAAGGAACACACAAAAAGGCCAAATGTCACAAATTAAACTAAAAACCTGCTAAACTGATTAAATTTGAGCATTTTGCTAATCAGTTTTCTTTGGCAAAAGATGGAGAAGCTCAAAGAGCTGATCACAGGTTATGGTAATCAAACAAAGTTTCTAGTTTACCAAAACATAAATTAAGGCTATGAGTGAGATTTCTGAACGCACCTTGTGTAATTCTTGATACAACTTTACCAAAACTGCATGTTGACTGCCAAATAAGTTCATAAAACCATGCATCCATTATCTTTTACCCACTTGCTCCTTTTTGGGTCGCGGGGATCACCGGTGCCCATGTCCAGCCATCACTGTGTGAGAGGCGGGGGACACCTGGACAGGTCTCCAGTCCATCACAGGGACACATAGAGACAAACAACCATTCACTCACACCTAGGAACAATTTAGAGTCACCATCAGCCTAACATGCATGTTTTTGGCCTGTGGGAGGAAACTGGAGTACCCAGAGAAAACCTACGAATGCACGGAGAACAAACTCCACCCAGAGTGCCTCCCCGGTCGGGATTCAATCCAGCGACCTTCTCGCTGAGAGGAGGCAGCTCTAGCAACTGAGCCACCGTGCCACCAAAATCAGTGCAGTTTTTTTAATCATACATGACATGCCTGCCATCTGAGGGTGTTCTGGTGAACTTTGCAGATATTTAAGACAAGTAGATTTTATTACAACTTCATACAAACAGTGGGACCATTTCTGTTTAGTGTTGTGAATTGTTGTGACTGTGCTCAAAGCATGAGCTAAAATGTGTCCCCTGTTTGGTAAAGACTCTTAAGGCTACGACCAGTGATGCCAGTCAAGTTAAAATGTACTCACTGGCCACAAAAAATTATACTTTTTAATTTAAAATTTGTTTTTTTTCTTCATTTTTTAAAATGTCCACAAGACAAAAGTATACTAAATTTGGTGGATAGGCATTCTACTCATTGTAGATATAAGCCTCACACATTTAGACTGTATTAAAAGCATGTTTTTAATTATTTATTGGATCAACTTTTTTTTTCTTGTGCTTGGAAAGTACATTTCAGTCTTTTTTTTTTTTGGTAACAAAAGCAAAACACAAGTCACTGTTCTTTGGAAACAGTTGCTACAAAGGGGTTGTGTGGCCTGAAAACAATTTGTTGGCTCACAGTTCGTACGGCCTTTTATAAAACCCCGCAGAGCCGCATGACCGCGGGCAGCCCATCATAAAGGCTGGATGAAGCAGTGAGACTGTAGCTGACAGTTGTAAAAATGATTCACAACATGTTAGGTCTGTAGGGACACTGGTAAAGGTGATTAAACCACATGTAAATTATGCCTGCTGCTGCTTCGTCCCATAACAAAGTCTCATTTTCCTCTATTGATGATGAAATCAACGCCAACATTTGTCGTCATAAACCTTGACTATATTTAGCTGAGTGTTATGATTGGACACGCCTTGGGCATGATTGTAGAGAAAACTTGGTGAAAATACGATGTAGTGATAGGCCCTCTGTTTGCCCTTCATCGAACAGTCACGTCGAGCATCACTCAAACGTTGAACCCCAGCCAGGTCTTCCTGTCATACAGCTCTGAAGCTGTGACGACACCACTGTCCTTGTTCCTGTTTTACTAATAACTGGAACATAAACAAGACAAAATCATAAAAGAAGTGTTTTTATATTCTATGTATTTAAAATGTATTCCTGTGAAATGTTTGATGTGAAAATGGGACTTGTAAAAGTTTGCATATTCCTCTAAGGCAATTTAATTGTTTTGATCTGGTATAAATGTAAAGAATTTAGAAATGCATTTGTTCACTTTTTCTTTTTTTTTCTCATTTCCACAGCTCTGAAGTTAATGACATTGTGCACTGAAAGTTAAGCACATTGTAAAAGCTTTAAAATCCTAAATCAAACCTTGATTGTGTAAAAACTGTTTAAGGCACCAAAAATGCCACAGTAGTCAGGAAAAGTCCAACTTTTTGGATCCATTTGAACTTTGATTATTCTGTGGTTGCAGAAAAGTCACACTGTTGGTCATGCGGAAATATTTTGCACTTCTTTGCTAATTTTCTTTACACTGCCACAAATATATTTATAGCAACAGATGTTTTTCCCAGAGGGCCACGCAAAGATAAGCAATCAAAGGGCTACATAAAGAATTAAAAACAGTTTTTAATACAGATAGTCTCAAAGACTTCTTCAGGTGTTTTCTTGTGGCATAGTTAGCATGCTTGATGAAAATATGTCTCCTACTCTTTACGTATAAAAGGCATAGTTCCTGTACACTGGCTCTTGTGACAATACACTTGTTAGCCTAAATATACAAAACAAATATGTATATAAGTTTTCTTTTTGGAGTCTTTAAGATTCAGTCGCGTTCTGGAAACACAATGGCATTAAACAAGTTTTAGCCTATCGAATCCAAGGGTTTTGATGTATTTATCCAATACACACAAAACTTCATTGAGTTTCTTTGATAAAATGCAGCTTTTCATCAACTCATTTAAAAGATTTTTTTCACGTTAAGAATATTGGGGGCCAGATGTAGATTGTCAGGGCCATACATTGCTTACATCTGTTTTAAGGAGATCAAAAGTTTCTCCTTGTACTTCTGATAAAAGACGAACCTGGTAAAATAACATCAGCTGTAACTCCTTGTTCATAAGTTGGTCAGTTATGAAACTTCACACTATCAGCTTTTGTAACTGACATTTTATTTATTGTACGAGTCATTCAACACAAATAAGCCAAGTTATACAAAGACTGTTTGTTATGCAGCACTGACATTATGTATTGTCAGTGAGGAGCTTCTTTGGAAACCTCTTATGGAAAGTTTAATACCTGTGAAGATTTATAAGTGCATAGCTGTAGAAGGAGGTTGTGTGACTCACTCCCTGAAGTGTTAAAATCACATTTGTCCTCCATGTCCAGTTCTCTCTGCAGGATTCATGTGTTGTAACAGAAAGATTACAAGATGGCTGTCTTGATAAGGAGTGCCCACACCTGCTTCTGTGCACATACAGACGCACACCTCATGGAAAAAGTTAATTCTATAATGCTTTCCTCCACCATGAATGTTCTTATGAAACCAGTTGGAGTGACCTACATTTTGTATAAGTATTCTTGGTCTTTTGTAATTTGCTGACTCATATTCTAAACATTGATACAGGAAAGCTTCATAATGAAGTCTGCTGCAGTGCAGGGAATATTAGCAGGGGATCATTTTCAACCACTAGACTGAGGAACAGCTTATACCCTGAAGCTGCTAGACTCATAAATCCCTAACCAGGAAAAATCACTGTAATGACACTTTAATTGATGATATGCAACTTTATCCATGCTGCTGATTTACTGCCGTTAAGCTGCTGTATTCATATCCATCTGCTCACTACAGACTCATGTTCAGGCTGCTGTTTAATACACCATATTATATTATTTATTATTGTTTAGTGTATATCTTAGATCCTTATATACAGTTCATTTTTTATATTTTATATTGTTGCTATTTTTGGGTGTAACTGGGACCTTGAGTACACAATTTTGTTCCACCTCATGTACCACATGTGATGCGAATGACAATAAAGTTTCCTTGAAGCTTGATTTTACTGTCATCGAGCAGCAATGTCTTGGGTGAAAAAGATATCAAATATATGAGTGTTCTGGAAAAATGTGATGGCTGATCCAAAAAAAGTTCAATCTGGTCCCCTGGACATTCAAAAAACAAGAAAAAAAAAAAAAAAAAACAAAGCAAAAGAAACGTTTCGTCTCTCATCCAAGAGACTTCCTCAGTCTGAGGTGCTTGGATGAGAGACGAAACGTTTCTTTTGCTTTGTTTTTTTGTTTTTTTTTGTTTTTCTTGTTTTTTGAATGTCCAGAGGACCAGATTGAACTTTTTTTGGATTTTTCTACCTGGATTATTGAGCATGTATCAGGATATGTGATGACTGATATACAGATTAAATGTTAGCAGAGACAAACTACCTGTCAGCAAACACTTACCTTCTTGAGACTTCATTTATAAACTCTATTTTAGAAGCTGATGAAGCCTTCTGGATGGAAGATGAAACGTTTCATCAAAAAAAAGAAACTGTCCAGATGACTTGACTGAAAATTGTTGTATACCTGGATTATTGAGCATGGACTTTGTTGGTTTTAAACCAGTTTAACATAACTGTTGACGAGGGAGAGGGCCGGCACTGGAGGAGGGGGTGTGCCAAAGAGACCATCTTAGCACCAACATAACTGGTTTGTTCCACTTTGTAGTAAACTGTTGGGGGAAGAATCAGTTTTGTGTTGTGTTTCCTTGACTGATGAAGCCTTCTGGATGGAAGGTGAAACATTTCATTACAAAAAAAAAAAAAAAACTGTCCAGATGACCTGATTGAAAATTGTTGTATACCTGGATTATTGAGCA